ATATATATATTTTTTTTTTCACCCCACATTTGATTACACACATATTTTGTTATTGTTATTATTTTACAGCCTCTTGGTTTGAAACTCTAACGCGCGTACATGATAATAATAACATATTTTCATATACTCGCATGATTTCATAGAAAACGTCAACGGGGCACTCACTGCACCAAAGCTCCCGTCTTGTAATATCTCATATTTATTTATTTATTATTATTATTTTTTTTATCCAAAATAGATGTGGACACGTGTACATAACAATACAACACTACCATTGTAGTATATACATCTTTCCAATATTAGATGTACAGATGTACAAATTAACGTAATATAAATACGCGCAAGCCACACTTTTTGTTTACACGTTTACCCAAAAAATACAATGGAATATAGGAGGAGGGTAATTTATAGATCTTACATGCATAATCTATGCATATATGTACACTCATTAAACTTGTGGAGTGTAACGTATAGTATACAAGGGGGGAGGGGGGCAGCCATGGAGATACGTATACAACACTCGGAAAGTTCAATCTGCAAGTATTGATCGACACCCCTTCTCGCTTTATCTATATATACTTCTCTCTCTTATATACTCACTCCCGTTTCCGCGTACATATATTATATATAGCCTCTTTCATTTAACTACGTGTTTCACTCTATATTATAGGTGAATACACACACGCACGAATAAACGTGCCGTATTTATACATATATGCGGTCTGTATATATATATTGCGCTGCTGAGCCTTTTGATTCGGTAGAAATATATATACATTTATGTATAGGTACGTACGCCAATTGATGCGCTAAGTTGCAATTTTTCCGTCGTCCTTATACTTACATCCTCGAACGTGTAAATATAATCGACGCGAAACTTGATTCTCTTTTCATGCGTACGTGTGTACATACTATTATTATTATATATATATACACATTGTATACATATACATAGGTAATCCATATGTCACTTTCGATCTCATAACCGTCGATAGAACTCTGATGGCTGCGCGATTGGTTTACTTTCCTCCAAGATATTGCATTATCACGCGAGTACGTGTATTTATGTACGAGTATCATAGAAGGAAAGTTGTAATTGCTATTCTTTTTTTTTTTTTTCTCTTTGTTACCAGGTGTTTATACACGATTAGGTATATGGTGACTCGAAGTTGTCAACAATACAATTATTACCTATCCATATAGTTGTTTTTGTATTTTATTCAAAATAGACAATCTTTTTTTTTTTTTTTTTTTTAATTCTATTTTTCATTTCACAGTGGCTCATTCACATGAGTTGTAAGTATGGACACCAAAATTTATTGGACAAAAATCCACGAAACGCGAGCAAGAAAACAAATAATTTCCTGCAAAACCAGTGCAAATGAGCAAAAAAAAAAAAAAAAAAAACGAGCGTCAACGGAAGAGAGGGACGGCGACTCGGTTTTGTACCAAGTATATAAACACCGACAAACACAGCCCGCCGCGCACAAACACGTGCGGGCTAATCGACCAGTTACAAAAAAAAAATTACATACATATAGAATTGTAAGCACATGTCGGCGAAACCCGCATCCTCGAAAGGGGGGGGGGGGACAAAGTCGAGTACGAGTAAAGAGTCTATATACGTGTACCTCTTCGCGCCGATGCAGAGACAGAGATTCCGGAGATCCATCGCGTTTACATGGTGTACTGGGACAGCAGTATCCGTGGCGTCGTCGGTCGAGGCGAGGAAGCTTCGGCCGCGTCGGCGGTGCCACCGTTTGCCGAACTGGCCTCGCAACAGCCGGTCCGACGGGCCTCGGGTCAAGTGGTGCACCAGGCGAGCACGACCTTCTTGAACGGCACGAATATCGCTCGCTCCGCCTCGCTGTTTTTATTCAAAACACACGTCACTCACTCTCTCTCTCTCTCTATGTATCTATCTACATCTCATGAGACTATTATTGAAACAAGGGACATTTTGGATTTTCATTATCCGCACGAATAAATCATATACATCTATTATAATGTCATATGGACGCTACATTGGGCGAGAACGAGGAGTAAAGCGAGAAAACATAAACATCAGCTGCGGAGTAAGTACGTACATCAAAGCGACAACTGCGGGTTAAGCATCAAGGATTCGCGTTGTGTGGAGGCAAGGACTCGGAAAGCCGGGAAAAAGTACGTGCAAGGTCAAGGGTCGGCTATTTTCGCGTCGAGCCTGCACTGCACTGATATGTGTGCACGTGTGTGTGTGGGGGGGGAGGAGGTGGTTTACGTATCATGCATGTGCGAGGGTAGTTTTTCAAGGCCACGGCTATTGTTCCGCGTAGTGTGTTGTTATTGAGTTTATTTGCATGGTCTACACGATATACGAGGAGGAGAAGGAGGTCTCCGCCACACACTTTATTTATTTTTCTATTTGTGGGTACGTAAGTACTTGCATGTACAGGGGATTCATTGAATTAGCTATGTATGATCGCACGGTTTATTTCTGTATATTTATTTTGTACTCGAATGAAACAAAGCCTACTTTCTTTTTTTTTTTTTCAACATCAAATCGGTTGGATTGCTCGGAATTCACTCGGAATCAAGGTCAAGATCATTATGTACAGTTTGTATTTACCGCGAGTTAAAAAAAAATAAAATAAAAGGGGGTATTGAAAAATAAAGAAAGCCTCTCACCAGTCAAAGTGCCGTCTGCCGTTGTAGCTGCCATCGGAGGTGCCGGCGTTGTTTGGCAACTCGACGCCCACGTACGCGTCGTTCCCACCGTTCACGGCCCCGACGTATCGCACACGGCCCTGGAGAATTTTCCCCGACTCCGCGATCACCTTCACCAGATGGTTTATCTTGAGATCTTGTGGTTTCTGCGACGCGCCGGAAACAGAGCCATCGTCAAAGCAAAAATCGGCACACGGTATAGAAAGTATAATCGTTGAAGTCATCCCTCACCTTTGGCAAGTAGGGTCTGGCGTCCTGGGGTGGATTCCATTCGCGGAAGAGATCGGGCTCGGAGTGTCGACGCGCTCGTCTCCGCCGGGCCGAGTGTCGGCCGCCCCCGAGGGCAGCGCAGCGCTCGGCCGCGCTACTCGAGAAGGTCAGCATCGAGTCTATGCTTCGCCTTAGGTAGTCCTCGGCCTCGTCTATTAGCGACTCGGTCGAGTCGCCGCTCGTCTCAGCCAGAGACTCCGAGCGCAAGTTCGGCAAGCTGCCCCGTGTCATCGGACACTCTGTTGACAGGCACACGTTTCGTTGTTTCACCCAATTTACCCGTTGACGCGCGTACACACTTGGACTCGATTTACCTTGGAAAGTGACCTTAGACCTGGTCCTGCGAGGCTGGCAGGACCCAACGAGCCTCGCGACGATCGTCCCGGACGGTGGCTTGACGTGGGTGGGCGAGGACGGCATCGACGACCAAGTGGGCCGTGCCAGATGCTGGTTGTGGTGGTGGTGGTGGTGATGATGGTGGAGGAGATGGGCGCCCGTCGTGCTTCCCCCGCAGCTGCTCGTCCCACCGGGACTGCAGGCGGCAACAATGGCCGAACTGGTGTGGCTGCCCGGTAGCACCGCGGGTCCCCGCCAACTGTCGAACGAGCCACCCGCGTTGTTGGGCCGCCAGGAGTGCCTGCGCGAGCCACCCAATTCTACGGCGCTCGGGGCCCGCGGGATCGAGCTCAAGCTGCCCCGGTAGCGTCCCGGGTAGAGATCGGCCGACAACCGGCAGTCGCACGACGGACTCGGCAGGCCCATCGCGCCCGAAGCACCGCCCATCCGGGCCCAAGACTCGCGCCTGCTGCTCTCCGGTGTGCGCAGACCCCCGCAGCAGCCCGGACTCGTTCCTCCACCGGTTCGCGACCCGTAGCATACGTGCGCCTGCGGAAACTTCAATTCCAAAGGTAAGCCATTACGAATTCAGTTTTTTTTCTTTTTTATGTTTTACTCCAGAATGTCGCATTGAGCAATGGTGATTGGTTCACCGACCTGATTGTGGGGCTCCTGGCACAGGTGGTCGGCGCTCCTCGACAACTCGGGCACCATGCTCGTGAAGCTTATGTCCGAGAGCATGACCCGGCGGGCCTCCCGCGTCTTGTCGGACAGCCTCAGCCGGCCCGGTACACCCGCGGGCAGGGCGAACTTACTCGGCAGAGTGGTGAACGCGTGGGCCACCTTGTGGGCGAGGTAGCTCTCGGAGCGCCACTGCGCCGGCAGAGCCGATATGTCGGTCTGGGCGCCGGACTCCCGACGGGCGTTGCCACTGCCGTTGCTCTCGGCGAGTCCCCCACCGGCGGCCCGGTCCATCATCGGTCTCACCGGACCGAGGCTCTTCCGGCGGCCCGTGGCCAGCGCCTCCCGGTGAATTATCGGCCTGCACCCAAGCGGGGATCGAATTAGTAGCGAGGCTCTCGAGATCAACAGCCAAATCGACCGGTTACGTGGCACACTGCCCATAAATAAAAAGGGTTTTAGACGTATACCAACCTGTAGGTAGCAGTGGGCGCGGCCAGGGTGTTGCGCCTGGCAGAGTGCCGGGCTTGAACGTCGATCTCCTCGAGGACGCCGCACTTGCTGATGTCCGTCTCGACGAGGACGGAGCACTGCGACCACATCTTGTTTAGCCGGCTGCCCGTGCTCTCGTCGAACCTGTCGACGCTCTCCTCGCGGTCGATGCTACTGCTCTGGGACGAGGCGGCCTCCTCCACCGAGTTGGCCTTGCCGTTGCACACCGAGCCCGGCTCACCCTCCTCCGACTTGGCCCGGCACGCCTGCCCTACCCCCGATTTCTCCTGCTCCCCCTGACGCGCATACAACACCATCATCATCACAGATCCTCTCCACTATCTATATAGTATACAGCAGTGGAACGAGTCGAGCTCAAGTCAGACATACCGGAGTGGGGGTGGTAAGTTGTTGTTGTTGTTGGAGCTGCCAATTGTCGGGGTGGTCGGTGATGGAGACGAGGTCCTCCTGCAGCCCGACGTCCCTGCACGTCTCCTCGGTAGTGAAGATGAGCTCGATGTCGTCGAGTTCCTCCGACTCGTTCTCCGACTCGTTGGAGGCACCCTGCCCGGACAGCTTGAGCTTCGGCACCACCACCTCCTGCTGCTCCACCTCGGTGGCGACTGCCTCCTCCTCCTCACCCTCCTCGCCCTTTGGCTCCGTCGTTTCGTTGGCGTCGGACTCCATGTTGGCTGCCTCGGGCCTTTCAAGTTGACCATCCCATCAAAAGTGGAGGGTGACTTTATAATTATATTATACCGTGGATGAGCAATTGCTTGTGTTTGATGAACTTACGGTTGTTGTTTTATCGGTGTCTTTGGGGTATGGTCGGGCGGGTTGGTCGCGGCATCGCTGGTAAACTCGCCGGCCCGGTCGAGCAGCCGTCTCCTGAGCACGTGGTTCTCGAGGGCCAGCCGGCCGATCTCGCCGGCTGGGCTGCTGGTTCTCCTCTTGGCGACCGGCTGCTGCTGGTGGTCCTCCTTGAGTTTGCGCAACTCCTCGCGCGAAGAGTCCAAGGCCGTGCGCAGCGACACCACCGTCTGGGGCCGAAGTAAGTGCGGTCAATGGAAACAGTGTGTGGAAATCGGGTCAGGGAGATCGGGCGACCGGGTCGAGCTGGTTACGATTAGAGGGGGGACTTTTCCAGCTGCGCCGATGTTATCGTTGTTACTGGCACGGGCGCGCGTCTCGTTTTGAGGCGAGAATAATAAACTGAGCTCAATTGAGTGTTGTTGTATACATCCCCACCCTTATTTATACCAATGATGGCAATGACGAGCCACTATCAACGCTTTTTGCCCACATGTAAACTCTCTTTTTTCGCGCAAATTCAAGTACACAGATTGACTGCACACGTATATGGTTTCGAGATGAACACACAGTGTTACTATACATTCCTATCCTTTTATTTCTCATTCGTTACTCGTGCCCGGTAAACGCGCAATTGGCGTTACGTAATACCGATTTATTGTTGATTTTGAGAAGAAAAAAAATAAAGGGATCGTCAAGTTTACTCGTTCGCACGTATGTAGGTGTATAGTAGGCAATTACCTCGTCACGTATTTATATATATGCACGCGTACTCGCGAATGGGCGCAGCAATTAATTAAAATTAAACTACGTCGCCTCTCCTGCGTGACACACGTTTGCGAATATATAAGCATATACACTTGAAACTCGAGTGGCGGATCGTTTCTTTTTATTCATTTATTTATTTAATTTTTTTTTTTTGCGAATCGGGAGGAAAAAAACCTTCTTTTACGACTGAAAATAACAAACAACGTATTTGAGATAACGAACGGGCGTGGAAGGAAAATCGGCTCATTTTTCGCGGCCTCTAAAAATATATCACATATACATATCAATAGACGATTGTAAGAGGGGGGGGGGGCAATAGTCGTGGTGAACTGGAGGGGGAGTGTTGAACTCCGATTGCCCGGTGAATCATCGAAAAGAGGCACTCGGCTGCACACCGAACGAACGATTTATTGGATTGTCAATTTTCTCCCTCGTTTTTTTTCTTCCCCCCCTTCCTTCATTCTCCGTTTGAGCGATTGCCTTTTAAATTACAAGTTTTGGCTGATCGAGTGAAATTGTTTTATGGGCGGCGCGTTTAATCTTTCGATAATCCCTTTGTTGTTTCGGTACAATTTGACAAACCCTCTGAAACGGCGGTTAACCGCCGCGATTGCGGAGGTATGCAATCGTGTTTATTAATAAAACGCGCCAACCCACAGGTTTCAAGGCTGCAAACGGAACGAACATCGAGCGCTCGCATGCAAACGTGGCGTGGGTTAATTTTTATTTTTCCGCCAAACGAAAAATCGCGCGCGTTATTTAAAATCGAGTTTTCCCACCGAGACTTCTCCAACTCCCTTTGGACAGCCCTCGAGGCTTAATAGCGACAAAAGTCGAAAGGCGTCACTTATGGCTATCCGAGGTCGCGCGCACGTTTTCCCACGACACAATCTGCACGCGCGAGCAACAGTGTAAGCCGCACGAGCTCGATCTCCATACACGCGCATTATAACCGGCAGAGCGGAAAAATTGCAAATGACACAAGGTGAATTCTGTTGGTGTATGGACGCAAAGCTGTTCGCTTCGAAACCATCTGACAGATTTTTAGCGCCAATACAGAGGAGTGTGTAAAACGCGGTGGATGAAACCTCTAAAATAAAGCACCCCGCACAGCCTCTTCCCCCCCGAAAAAAAAAGCCAAATCGCGTCAACAACGGACTATTACACCGAGCACTCATTAACCCAGTACGTGCCCCTCCCGCTTCTACACGATACGCTTCATACGTATAATACTCGAGAGCTCCGCCTCTAATTGTGTTATTACACACACGGTAGCCGCGCGCGTGATAAAGTTACCTAAGCCAGGGAGTTTGTAATCTAGATCCCGAGAGAGAGAGAGAGAAGAGGACGAGCCAACGCGTACATTAAGTATAGGTGTGGGCCATCTCTCGAATCGTGCATAATCGCTTTTCATCCGATCGGCCTCGTTCAGCCGGCTATATATTCAAGCCCTTGTGTGTATACTTTACCTATATGTACATACAGTAAGTGTAATATATCCGATCGGATGAAAAACAAAAAAAACTTCCGAGCTTGCGGTGTCTGTTTACATATATATATATAAATCTTCCCAAATTGCGGTGTACTTATGCGAAAAAGAAAAAGTACAAAGGTCAAGTGCGCGTACATATACTATACTCGCACAACGCATAGTACAATAAAAAAAAAAAAAACGGTCTATTTTCTCGGCGAGTAAGTATGTATATATGTATAGGTAACCTCCTTGTATAAAATAATCGCTGCAAAACGCTCCCGGCCTGTTTTTGCATATCCTATATGTAGGTATATCGCGTAAATTTGAAGCGCGAGCGTGCGCGGCATTAAAATTCACGCCGACAGCGGTGTAGAATATGTATACATATATACTTACGCTCTAATGTATGCAACTCACGCCGAGCTGTATATGTGTATGCATTGATGTGGAGATACATAGAGGAGCTCGTTAATTTTTTTTTTTTTTATTCCTTCGTCCCGGGTAGTGTTTTCACGAGCTCTGCCCGCGGATTATACCGAAACGGGCCACTTTTCCACGCCGCGATGAGCTTACGTGCGCCGAGAGCGCCCATTCATCGGCAGAACCGAGTAATCAGAGGGGAGGGGGGGAAGGGGTGCTTCAGTTGCCGACCTCTTACGTAAAGGAGACTCGTGTTTTTCTCTCGGGATAATTGGCAACGGAGTTACAACACAAACGATTAGCTCAACAAAAAAAAAAAAGAAAAAAAAAAAAAAAAAGCCAAAGCTACGTATATGTAACACTTGTTTTTCCGTGAAAATCTCGAGACGCGGAGGAGTCACAGTATATACCTACTTATCGATCGGCGAGCGCGACAGCCGCGGCTGGAATATTCCGATCTAAACTTAGCCGGGAGCGCGCGGCCGCAGGGCCATATGTACACTCGAGGCACTTTATATCTGTCGGAACGATTGGTCTACATACGGTCAATGATGTCCTGTAACCTATAATATAACAAAGACGCACTGTCACTTAACAGGTAATTTTTCATCGTTCCGACAAATATAAAGTGCCTCGAGTGTACATACACGCATGTATGTATATATATATACCTCCCACGGAGTTTTCTTTTTCGCCTAAAAAAGCGCTCGGACAACCGCGCGTGAATCGGAGCTTTCCACGTTTACACACCTCAAGTGTTATGTGTACCGAAGTGCCTCTTAAAATATTTAAGCGTCGATCGACCCATTTTTTTCACTTCCCTCTGCTTTTTACCGTCTCCCTCTCTGTAATATGCAGCTTGAAAACACACCAACAAGCGCGGAGGGTACGCGGAGCTTTTTCAATTAAAAACCAAAAAAATAAGCCACTCGAGCCAGTTTCCCGAGTAGAGGGCAAAGTATAAAGGGAGTCTCGTGTACGTACACGCCAGTGCTCCGTGTATATATATACAATATGTAGGGCACACAGGCGGAAATTGCTTCCTCCCTTCTTGCTATACGTATATGTGCAAACGAAGGGAACTGTCTCGGAAATATCGTTACTCGACGTATATGGATTTGCTTTTTACTTTTCAACCCCAATTGTCTCTCCCGATGTCGTTATTGATGGCGCCCCACATTGACCAGAAGAAAATAGAGCTACCTAGTTAACTAACTTTTTTATGTAAATAATCCATACTTGTATGATTCCGCGTGTGGTAAAACAAAAAAAAAAGCTTATACGTGTATTGTGCGTGTCGGAGGGTCGTTTGGTTTAGCCTCATAATTTTACGCTTTTCTCGCACGTGGTGGGGTTTTTTTTTTTTTTCACCTAACATAAGTTTACAAAAGCTGTAAATTATACGCACTTACTTAAAAGGAAAAGAAAAAATAAAAATGGGAAAGAGGCTACCAGTGGAGTATAGGTACTTTGATGCGGGATACCCACACATTTGCGTATACACTGCATGGAAATGTATATGTATAAGAAAGCGAGACGAGGCAGATTAGAGATGAGGTTTGCCAACGTCACATCTCCCTTATCAATACCATTGGTGTACAAGTGATATTACAATATACACCGTGCACACGTATGTAAATATATATATATACTTATAGCTCTGCATATAACCGGGAAATTTGCATCGATTTTCTCGCGACACCCATGTGTATACATGCAGGAGTAACTGTAATATGTGGACGCAGGAGCAAACAAAGCCCGGCCATCGTGGTGCGTCGTCGTCTGGTTATCGATGGCGTACATGAGTGACGCTTGTCCCTCGGCTGGCATCGATAATTGTCGCTCTTTGACGCAGCTAAATTCACTCGTATCGGAAAAATTTTGTTGGTGTGAAAATGGAGCGCGGAGAATTCCAGTAACTATACCGGAAGAGCTTTTTGTATAAAAAAAAAATAAAAACCAGATCAAACATAACAACAACAACAAAAAACGTCCTTGGGAATACAAGAAAAACAAACTCAATCCGTAAATCGACGTAAAAGTAATCCACACAACATGATGTTGTAAGCTCTGTACCAATTATAAACAGCTCATTGGACTTTTGTTCTTATTTTATTTTATTTTATTTTTATTCAAAAATGAAAAATAATTGCAAAAATAGCTACGCGTACACAATAGAACTCGAGAGTGGAGAGTCACGTGAATGAAAATAAGTTGATGGTACATAATAAGTATAATCTTTGTGTGAGGTAAGGTTTTGTACATCGAATCTTAAATCTATACACGCTAGTTCAAGGAATACGAAGCACTGACATCGAGCACTTCTTTTTTCAAAGCAACGACCGTAAAAGAGGTAAAAACGGAACGTAATAAAAAAAAAAAAAAAAGTGACAATCACTTGCCCAACACAGAGAATAGACATACAACATCTATAAGGCAGCCTGAACAGAGAGATCTGCTCCGAGAGTATATTGGGGAAAGGACTCTCTTATTGCAGTATAATATATATGTTGTAGTATATACAACTCGATATATATATATCACGTCGCGACGATAGTACAACAGATAATGGTATAGAGCGAGAGCGTAAGTGTATATACACACGCGACAGAGAGAGAGAGAGAGAGAGAGAGAGAGAGATGGAAACGAGAAAGCGTGGGCGCGGACGTTTTAATTTATGTGTGCGCGTCGCCGTGTGTTTCCCGGGTCGATTCCCCTTTCGCCGTTTCCACGACGCGCCACTCGATTTTGTAATATTCCCCCGCAGATTCATATCGCCACTCTCTCTCTCTCTCCCTGCGCGCTCCGCGGTGCAGCCATTGTCGACGGTTCGTTATACCTTCGAGTTCCTTGTAGACTGATGCAGAATATACATATACCTATACATGGAACTGTAAATGGTGGTGGTGCAAGATGACGATTTCTCGGTTCGTTTCCTAGAGAGAGAGAGGGGCTTTTTTTTTAAATTTTAATTAGGTATCCGTATGTTTGTGTAGGTGATGATTCATACGATCCCTCGGGGGCATTAAATATTGCTCGGACATCGATTTTGGTTGACATCGCGATGACTGTGTGTACAATCGAAACAAGTATAGTGTACTCGGACTTGTAGCGTGACTTGTTTATTTTTTTATTACGACTCATGCGGTTACATCGTCTATCATCGTGATCGATTGTGTCGATCTTTGTCGAAAACAAAAACAAAACAAAAAACCAGTGCTTTCTGATTTTCTTATAACTTACGCGAAGCGCAAACGAGCCTCATTTGATACAAAAAAAACCATGTATTTTTTATCCCCTTAAGAGAACAACTTGTTTTTTTTTTTGTTTTTTTTTTTCCTATAAAAATCGCAATTTCATGAATTACCATCTAACATGTCATGCATAAATAAAACATTGAACGGGGATGATCTAATTCTTGGCTCTCCTCGATAAACACACACACACATACAACGAAACCAAAGACAAATTTATTTTCACGATCGGAATAATCACATATTCCTGGAATTTTCCACTTCGGGAGGCAATCATCCTTTTCGGAAGTTCCTCTGTGGACAACTTTTTTCCCTGCACTTATCTTCTATACGCGGTGCGCCACATTATAACCGATCTCGATGAAAAAAAAAAAAAAAAAAAAATATCGTGGAGCAATAAAGGATGAATTGTATATAACCTGGTGCAGGGCCCTCACGACGTCGAGGCCGGGAGCACTGCCAGCCGAGGCGAGGAGATCGCGGCTGCCCTGCTGCGGGCCATCGTTATGCGATCGTCGACGATGATGGTGCCGGTACTGCTGGTGAGCGCCAGGCGCGGCCTCGGCGGTTTCCATGCCTCACCGCCGGCCGGTTCAACGCGCGAGGCCTCCCGCACTCCGGGCCTCCTCATGCCGAGGGTATCAGGCGCCTTGCCGATCTTCCTCCTCCCTATATATGCATATATACAAGTGCGCACTCTTTCTCTCTCTCTCTCTCTCTCTCTCTGACCAGCTACATCGATCGGTTGGTTTGTATAACGGGCGTCCGATTTACTCTTGTTTTTTTAGGTGTCTATGTTTCTTGCTTCCGATGTCGATACGGGCCCACGATCCACTGTCTCGATGGGGCAAGCACTTACATTTGATGGCCTGAAAAAAACAAAAAACACCAATAAGGGCTATAACTTAACTAAAATAAATGAGGGCATTCATATACGTTTCATCTTCCGGAGACGCGTTTGTAGTGCAAAGCCAAGTCATTATTTGTTGGTTCGCGAGATCGACAATGGATAAATATGAAGGCTTGACATAAATGAACACCTAAGATTTGCATGGAAAAAGCAACTCTTTACCTTTGGTTGTTTTTTTTCCTCCCGAAAGATACTTTTTTTTTTTGTTTTTTTTTTTTTTTGTTACTTAACATGAAAAAAGAATTTTTATCTCTAGCATCGTCGTCCCGGTGGTTTTTACTGATATACACCGAAAAAAATCCTCCGCTCGGAGAATCATTTGAATGGAAGACAAATTTTTTTTTTTTCTCCACAGTTTGGTTCGTTCGTTTATCCGATTAAAAAGAGAAAAAGAGCAAGGGGTCACGTTTTTTATTTAATCACGTATAAATACATTGTACCATGTTTTGAGCTCTTTGATGTCTAAACCCATCAGAAATATATATTCTCCCAGGCGTCACAAAAGCTGCTACAGTTATACGATATGAGAAGAAAAAAAAAAAAAAGAGCCACTGTAGGACGCAATGAACGTAGAGAGTCTCTCTGTCACGTGCTAGTACCTATCTATTTATACGTGCACATGTACGAGGTGCGATGGTAAAAAAGTAAAACCGTTTTTCGCGCAATTAAAAAGTAATCTCGTTCGCGTCTCGCTCGCGGCGACAGGGAGGACTTTTCTTTTCCTTCTCTACAGTATATATACAATATTATGAGGTATGAAGTCGAGTTTTTTTTTTTTTTTTTTTTTTTTTTCTTCAAACGCAGTATAACAAGGAGCAGCAGCTTATACGTTGGGTGTGTGTTTTTGCGACGAGTTTGGTCTCTGCATGCATGTATGTACGTGTAAGCGTTCGAATACTCGTCAAAGTTTATGAAAAATCACGAGATAAGGGTCAGATGATTTTGCTTATTTTACGAGTATAGATAAAGTAATTTAATAAAATAAAATAATCTCGACGAAATGTCGTAGACCACGATTTTTACCGATTTCGACGTATTGTCGAGTCATTTTTCTCCTTACCACTGAATCATGTTTTTATAGATGAAAACCAAAGGTAAAAGCTACGCTGCGCAGGTTAAATTATACTCGCATCGGGACGTTGGCCATTGAGTCTGGAAGATGTGTCGCACCGGCAAAAAAACGATTGTTTCACGGATTTTTCAGAGATTACCACGCATATGAAATACATATGTATTATATATGGTATGTGGGTAAAAAAGGTGAAAAAGCATGATATGCACGTAGGAGAACGAGGGACAGCTATACCGTATACCATATATTATAGAGGCCAGGCCTGCGAACAATATAGGCGCACGTACCTATAAAAGAGCCAGCTCAGTGTATATACTTATATATAGGGTACACACAGCACTGAAGGGAGAAAGAAAAGAGAATTACGGTATACCGTTCACTCGACTTTTACACATCTGTACTTGCATATATATGTGTGTGTGTGTGTGTGTGTCTCGCGCGCGCAAGAGAAAGATATACTTACGGTCACATGTACATCACGTATAAGGCAGAGCAACGAGCAACGATAAATTGAATGAACGACGCGTGTATGTGTGTAACAACGTAAAATGCACACACATGGTGTTCCCCCCCCCCGAACACGTAATATAACAATTATTACATATAAATACATATAAGTATACTTATGTTACACTGTAGTGTAAATATACCTTATGAGGTCACTTCACTGTAATATAAGAAAAAAAAAAATTAAATATAAGTACTTATAACATATCTGTATACCCACGAAAGTACATTTTACGCTTTTGCTTAGTACTTTTTTTTTTTTTTTTTTTTGTTCTACACAACCCATAGGTAAAATATATACATTAAAACGCATAAACGCGTGCACCTATAACTAAAAATTAATACTCCTGTATTTACATTATCTCGTACGGTGATTCAACTTTTTTTTTCAATTTTTCTGTACTCGTTTCCTCGTTCATTTTCACCACGTTTTATTAAATAAATAAAGCTCCGACCTTCGCACGGACACCTACATGTTGTTCATATAAGGTATACATGGAGGGTTTTCGATGATAAGCCACCCGAGAGGCAACAATAATGTAAGGTAACCGTCCACCCCCTCTTTAAATGGCCCTTGCATTGCAATTACGCGCGCCTGTACGTGTAAAATAAACGGATAATTATTTTTTATGCGTGTAAAAGCTACCACAAAAATACCACATGGAGCTTGCAGTTAAATATATCCACCATGTATTTTTTATCCCCTTAACTGAACATTAATACTTTTTTTTTGTTTTTTTTTTTCCTATAAAAATCGCAATTTCATGAATTACCATCTAACATGTCATGCATAAATAAAACATTGAACGGGGATGATCTAATTCTTGGCTCTCCTCGATAAACACACACACACATACAACGAAACCAAAGACAAATTTATTTTCACGATCGGAATAATCACATATTCCTGGAATTTTCCACTTCGGGAGGCAATCATCCTTTTCGGAAGTTCCTCTGTGGACAACTTTTTTCCCTGCACTTATCTTCTATACGCGGTGCGCCACATTATAACCGATCTCGATGAAAAAAAAAAAAAAAAAAAATATCGTGGAGCAATAAAGGATGAATTGTATATAACCTGGTGCAGGGCCCTCACGACGGATTATACCGAAACGGGCCACTTTTCCACGCCGCGATGAGCTTACGTGCGCCGAGAGCGCCCATTCATCGGCAGAACCGAGTAATCAGAGGGGAGGGGGGGAAGGGGTGCTTCAGTTGCCGACCTCTTACGTAAAGGAGACTCGTGTTTTTCNAAAAAAAAAAAAAAAAAAAGTGGAGATTGACGTAAGTCGGTGCAAGTATAATAAAAGAGTTGACGATTACTCGGAGTGTGTATAGCGTTGTATACTTATAAATACTCTCGGCTCAGGTCAGGCAAAAGACAGGAGCAGTGGCGACCGGAGAACATACATATACACAAGGGAGAAGAAGAAGCAGCTGAGTCGCGAGATCAATATGGAGCGCATCGCCGACTCCAACACCCCCTCGCCTTCTCGTTTATTATTCTATTATTATTCTCCTTGCAGTGCAATCACAACATGCCAGGCTTACCTTTTTCGGCCCCCCTCCCCTTTTTTTTTCCTTTACGAGGATTATTTTTTCTCAGTATCTACTTATCAAAGAAACTCTCCCTTCGTCCTTTTCGCAATCCCCATAACGAACGCACGTACACACGTTCCCCGAGACCCTAATGGGCTACCTGGTGTCACGAAGTACATAGTCCTGATACTCGCATGACATATCAACGCTGCGCTCTACAATGAACTATATTGTAATAATAGTAGACGGTCAATTGTACGTACATGCAGTACTTACTTCCTGGTTTACTGGAAAAACACTGTCTATACAGGTACTTATCACTGCGTGTAAAAAAAACAACAACAACAACAACACCCAAAAAAAAAACCACACGACACAAGCGCGAGAACAAAGTTTACAAACGCACAATTGGCTCCCGAGGAGGTAGGTGCGTGTATTGTATATGTATGTATGAACCTTCACATCGGGCAGCAGGTAAAAGTCTATTACCTGCGCTCTGTTCTCTCGGTTTTTTTTTTTTTTTTTTTTTCTTCTTTCACCGCTCCTGCTCGCGGTATAAACTACAGCTCAACAGCCTGCCCTGCAGCGGTCAGGCTGGTACTGCTGCTCTTGCCTGGGTCGCAGTGCGCGAAGGACTACGCGGTTTGTTATGTGCATGTATTTGTGTGTATAGTGAGCAGAGGCTGAACCAAGAAAGGATATAATATCAGACTGGGCGCAGGAGAGAGAGAGACGTGTGTTTGTGTGCTGCTATTGGGTTTCGGAGTTTCGGAGTCGGAGCTGTCAGTTTTACTTCCATCTCTTTCCCTCCTCGTCCAGTGGAGGCACTGGAGGCCGTTTAATTCGTTGAGCGGGAAGTATAAAATTGACCAATGAAAGAGGTTATGTGGTCGAATTAGTCAATGGGAATTAAATGTTTGAATTTCCCGCTCAACTAATTAAATGGCCTCCACTCCGTGCATGCGGGAGAGAGACATATGGAAAGATGCAGACGACGCGACGCCAGCGCTGCCGTCGACACACAATCAATTATGTACATACATATATTAGCGCTCTCATGACTTTTACAATAAATATTTATAGTAGTAGGAAAAGCTTGATTTTAGATGTTCGTTACCGTTACCGTGTAGTTGACATCCATAATAAACAAGGATCTCCAGAGAAAAATCGATTCTGAAGGTTGAGTTTAAATTTTCGCGCTGAGCTTTTAGTAGCTCCCCTCTCGTCATTTGGGAGAGCTTTCAACAACATCGTAAATTAATTTGTCCCTGAAATCTTGGAATATCCCTACGTTATCTAGTGACACGATCATAACATAACCTGAGATTACTATGCATGCTCAATCGTGTATTGTTTACAATTTCTGTAAATAAAAAAATCTACATAATAATGGCACAATTGTTCAAAAACGTTAAATTGCACAATGTGCTGTTTATTCCAGTGAGATACAGAAATCCACAACATCATTGGGTGAGGCCTTTTTTTTTTTTTAATTAAAGTGAAATAATAATTTTGTCGATGTTTGCATCATTTTTTTTCACTGTTATTTTGTTTTACGAGGATAGTCTGAGGTCAAAAAAAAGGTGACGTGCACTCAGAGAGCCCTCGATCACTTTGATGATTTTTATGAAAAAGTTTATGGAGAATCTTGGAAACACATCAGATCGGCAATGTTAGCTAAGAACCACAAATATGTCGCTGTTGTTAATAATTTCAGCGATACCGAGAGAACATGCAGTGAATTGGAGGTAAACTTTTTAAATCACCCGAGTAACCATGAAACATTAAATTCATTACTTTAATACTGATCGATTATTGCAGAATTTGGGAGCAATGAGTTTAAAGTCAGTTTATGATTCAGTTAAACGTAGCATTGATTATGAAAAATCACTAGTTCGACCTAAAGGATATCAAGAAACAATTAGACTGATGAATGAAAAGCTGGGAAATATAGTTGAAGAACAAAAGAAAAATGTCACATCTGTTTACACAGATCCCAGTGATGATCATACTCAAAATGTCATAGAGAAGGAAAGTGAAAATGACAACAGTTCTTTTGAACCGGTAAAGCTTAAGTCTATAGAGACAGATCTAAAAGTGGTGACAAGTAAAGATCGTATTATCAGTCCTGCGTGTGCTGAATCATCTTCCTTCTTGTACGAGTACGTTCCAGCAACAAAATTAAAAGGTTTGTAGAAAAGCATAAATTTTAATTTTTGTTATTTCTATTGAAGGCAGTATAGAATGTTATCACAATGATTTTTCAGGAATGGAGGATTTTGTTTTGGAGTCAGAACATTACAATTACTACACACAAGGTGCTGATTTTAGAATCAAAATTGAAAAAGAAAATGATATGAATTTCCCTGATCATCTTTTACTATATACCTTTGAAGAAGGTAACAATACTAAGTTTCCAAAACCCAAAACTGGCTCTACAGATCTCTTAGGTACTGAATCGAGCAGCTACATTTAATTGAAATTTTTTTAGCTCTTGTAACATGTTTATTTTTGCAGATTATTTTGTTCTTGATGGTGCTTCAGTACTGCCCATCTTGTCACTAGATTTACAGCCTGGAGATAAGTTTTTAGATATGTGTGCTGCACCTGGCGGAAAAACTATGATGGCCCTGCAAACGTTACGGCTCCGCCTTGCAGTTGCCAATGACATTCAAGAATCAAGAATTAATAGAATAAATACTTTTATCCATGAATTTTTATTGGAAAAATATTGTGATAAATCATTTTACATCACTCAATCTGACGCTAGACATATTGAAGACAATGGTGTTTACAACAAGGTATACTTTTGGCGCATAATACTTTCAAAGTTATTTCGAAGTATAATTTATGAGACAATTCAATTTATTTATTTATTTATTTATTTATTTTTTTTTTTAGATACTCGTCGATGTGCCTTGCACGACAGATAGACATGTTCTTCATGAATTTGACAATAATATATTTAAGGGAAGTAGAATCAAAGAAAGGCTGAGGTTGCCTGAGCTACAATCAGAAATTTTAGTGTAAGTAATTTATATGAAACTGTTTAATTTTTTTTTATATCTAGAAAATACACAATGTTTTTTTGTCATATTTTTAGAAATGCATTGAAGCTTGCAATTCCTGGTGGCACTGTTGTGTATTCAACGTGCACTTTGAGTCCCATTCAAAACGACGGTGTTGTTCAAATGGCTCTTAAAAAGGCTTTTGAAGAACACAATGTAGTGTATAAAGTCATGTGAGCATCGAATTATTTCATCTATCCAAATTTTGATGAGTATTTTGATTTTAATTTTATTTACAGAGATCAGATGGATGCATTGGTTCCTTTAAAGTATTTATACAATTTCAATGATTCGGCACTTAAATATGGTCACATTGTTGTTCCTTCAAAAAGCAGGAATTGGGGTCCAATGTACTTTTGCAAAATGATCAGAATACAATGAAAAAAGTGAGTTCTAAAATTAATTTGTCAACTTTTATTTTTAATTGAATTTTGTACGACACATTTTTTATCTTTGTGATCATTACGTTAATTATAACGTACTGGTTATCTTGGAATTTTAACTGAGTGGAAAAATATTGAAATTATTTAGCTAAATAATATTTTAAATATACTTAATGTACAGCTCTTCTTGTATATCTATATATAAATAATTACAAACCTTAAACTTTTATACGTTTTCCTCATGAAATAACCATCTAATGTAAATGTCCCACATAACTGTATGCTAGCAGAATTATTGTGAATCGTCGATATAAAGTTTGTACTGTCATTTGTGTGACTCAAATTATGAAGCATTGAACAGCAAGGATAAAAATAATAGCACGTTTTTCCTCTAGTCATTTCTCATGTTATAAAATGCTAAACCGTAAAAATGCTATTTTTCGTAATATTAAGTCCATAAAAATTATTTTTTCACATTATTGGGACATTTACAACGTTTCTTCACTCAAAGAGAAAGACATCTGTTGCAACAACACTTGTAGATTTTTTTTTTTCAAACATATTTTAAACATTAATGTCTCGCTTCTTTCAGAGGTACGGTTTGTTCCGTTCGTTCGGGATCTTTGGACTTGACTTTGTTCCACGGCTGTTCCTCGCCGGTACCAAACATCGTGTAGATCAACATCTCGACAACGTACAGAGTTACCGTCATGAAGAAGATGACTTTCCAAGACTCGATGGAGTGCTGTAAATAGATTTATTTGTAAATAAAAGAAAAAATCGACTATCATTAGTTCCTAATTTAAAACAAGTAGCCAGTGACACGTTTTAAATAAATTGCACATATTTTAACACATCACATTTTTTTTTTATGAATTAAAAGTAAATTGTTCCAAACGTATAAACTCACATCGTCACTAGTCAATTTTCCAACGATGAGAGGAACGAGAATCCCTGGTATTGTAGCGACAGTGTTTGTGATGGCTATCAGCGTGCCCGCAAAGTTGGGCGCCTGGAAGTTCAATGTTGTATTTACGAAGAAAAATAAAGCGAGAACACTCGTACGCGGTAATTAATTCAATCACCCACCAAGTCAATGTGATTGGCCAAAAACCCGCAATACATGCCACCCTTGCACATGATGCCAATCGTCATCAGCACGACGGCCCAATTCTTGTCGCTGGTGTACGTCACGCCGAGCAAACAAAACATAGGAATGGCCGATGCTGCGCCAAGGGAAAAAAGCAAAAGGCATTATTGATCCGAGTTTCTTATCTGTCTGTCCACTTACCGTTTTACGTGGCTCTATATATATATGATAGTTTTTTTTTTTTTTTTGCTCAACTTACAGAACAACGTTCCGATTTTTCTCGACACCGTTACGGAGATCCAGTTTTTGTCTTGCATGCGGGCAAGAAGTTTGCCGAGAATCATCGTGAATATCCACATCAAGAAGAACGGTAACGCCGACAGCCACGTGTTCTTGGGGACAAAGAAATTTGTTTTTTCATTTCTTTCGCAACATCATTTCACGTATCGTGCGAGCATTGAATTACCGATTCGAGCTTGTAAGCGAGTATCTGCTGCATGAACGTGGGCAGTTCAATGAGGAACATGTACCAGCCGAAATTGCTGCAAAAGTGGGCAAACAGGATGGCCAGAAACGGCGGCGACTTGAATATTTGGAACCACGGCACTGTCGACAATTTCTATCGCACGGGGAAAAACAAAATTTACCATCAACAACTTCAAGTTTTTATTCCAAAAGTATGGAGTGTATACCATTTTGTGCGACGTCTTGGTCGTTCCGATCGAAGTCATGATGTACTCCCTCTCCTCGCTCGTGATGAGGAACGTTTGCTGCTCGGGCGTGTCCTTTATCGTGAAGGTCCACACCAAGCACCACAGCATGCAAACCGAGCCCTCGATGTAGAAGACCCACTGCCAGCCGAGATTCTTGGCGATTATACCTGAGCCCAGTAGAAATATGACAGTGCCGATCGCAGTTCCTGAAATCGAAATCGGTATACCCTCTCTTTCCAATCTATTCTTTCAGTTTTTTTTTTTTTTTTTTTTTTTTCGTTGATGCAAACCAAGAAAGCACACCTAATTTATATTTTTTTGTACGTGCCTACAAAGGTAAAACTGTTGGTGAAATTGGTAATATAATAGTAATACCCATACGTACAACATGATGATGGAGGAGAAGAGGAGCGCCAGTGGGCATATATTGTATTGTAATATACCTACGCGTGACACCCACGCACGCGTCAACGTTACGACCATAATCACTTATATGTTGTATACATATACCTATACGTACAAGGAATATTATTGAACACACACACATCGAACATCTTAATGTAATGTAGTACATACTCATCATGATTTGCTTACTGTATACATATATTCGACTCTATACCTAAAATAGCTACAACGAAATTCGCAATTATAACTGAATAATCGTGTGTTGTGGCGTGCACATGCGCGTGTATGATTAATTATACGGTATATTAAGCGAAATATATATGATTCGTAACGCGTGGGATAACTCAGACGGATGCAACGTGTATGTTGGCGCGCAGTAAAAAGGGTAAGCAAAACGTCGCTGCCGTAACTTTCATTCGATTTTTATATTTCAAGTGCTCGTGATTGCACGCTTGTTGTTTATGATATTACAGGCACCGTTTTTTTTTTTCCATCTCAAGAATCGAGAGTTTTTCCACTACTTTTCTTGCGCGTGTGAGGTACGGGGTCATCGGCGTCGAAACAAAACCCCATTATTTTACATATTGCATGTATACCATATCGGCAAGCTCCGCGTTTATTCCGATTAAAAGAGCAATCGTAAAGTGTTCTCGCGAGGCTCATGAGCCGAGAAACTCATGTACTTATAAATTATTGCACAAAAGAAAAATTACATGGGTATACATATATATATATATATATGTGCCACGGGCAAAATATACGAAATAATACTACTTACGTGCATAATACTACTTAGGGTGCGCCTTATATTTTCAGAGGTGAGCGCTTAAGCCGTAAATAATCTAACTCCTGGATATATTATATGTATACACAAGAAGGACTTTTAAAGTATGACGTGTGTGAGTGAGCGATGACTTGTGTATAATATGTATATACGTACCTTACACGTGTATAATTGTATAACATAAGGAGGTAATATATAACACATGCATAGGTACGTCTCTCGCAGTTGTGCATTGTACTTGCGCGCACGCTTTGTTAATTTTTTACGTGTATGTATAATTATGGATTTTTTTTTTTTTGCTGCTCCAAGTACACGCTGGGATACGACTTTAGGTGTAACAAAATATAATGGTGATCATATAGTAATGATAATAATCATCATACGGTAAATAGTTTTCCTCGAATATAGTGGGACTTTTTTTTTACTTCTATGTAGCTACCTGCATAAGTATACGTTTTTACAATTACTGCTGCGGCTATTAGCTCCGGAAAGCGCGATGTAATCTGTAGTACCCACCGCTTTATTTTTCCTTCCCCTCCGCGATACGATCCGCTATTTTTATTTTTATTTTTATTTTTATTTTTTTTTCTCCCATTTTCATTTCAAGTAGAAAAATCACGAACAACACACGGTACTTGCTTCCCTTGCTTATTTCGCCGCAAGGAAAAACAATAATGCAGCTGAACTTGTATACAAAAGTAAGTGGGTAAACTGCACGACATGAAGCGCTTGTATGCAAGTATAGGTACAATGCAAGGATCCTTTATTCGATTGCAAAGCAGGAAACGAGTTACGCGCGTTACACAACTTTTTTTTGTACCATTTTATAACAGATGTAAGAGAGAGAGAGAGAGAGAGATGATATTAAAAACAAGTAATGAAGCATAATAGAGAAATCGGTATGGAAAAAATCCGCTCGCCCAACTATAGGAGGACCAACGAGGTCCTTAATGGGACGGATATTTATATATATATATTTTTTTTTTCATCTCTACGAGGCATCGTTAAGCGCTCGTTATTTTGTACTTTACCCTTTGGTAGGTAAGTACCCANGAAATCGGTATGGAAAAAATCCGCTCGCCCAACTATAGGAGGACCAACGAGGTCCTTAATGGGACGGATATTTATATATATATATTTTTTTTTTCATCTCTACGATATATATATATATATGCGTGAGCGGTATTACCTTTTTTTTACGTGCAAATAATATAATTACGGTATACAATATTTGCTGTGTAGCTGCTCGTCCTCGAGAGAAAAGGCTAATGTAAGGACACACTTGTACACACTCATACGTTTATGTATACTGTGATGTGCTACCGTATATAAATAGAGCTCCATTGCAAGGATAAGTTGCAATTTTGGTGTACACACGTACATGCACGCGCGCGTTGTTACCTTCGGAAAAAAGGGGAGATCCTTTATCATCAGATCGAGATTAAGAGGGAGAGAGATTATATTAACAAAACAGTAAATATACGTATAAATGTAGCCTTTCGCTCGAGACACGCTGCTTGTATGATATCTTTTTCTTTTTCCTCTTCCCCTCACTTCTGTCGAACAAAAATGCACTTTGAGTTTTAGAAATTAAAGCTCGATGACTTTTTTCACGCGCGCTTTGAATCCCACGTACTTGTATGTGTACTACTGCATCAGCAGCTGTTGCGTACAACCCCTACGTATACCTTATACGTGTACTTATTGTATGAGCTCTCCCGGTGAGCTGATGTGCTTTCGAGGCAGGAAAGCGAATATATGTGTATATATATATATGTATGGGCCCAGGACTACCGCAGAGAGCGAGGAGGCCGAATGTAAAATCGTGAATAATAGACGCATCGCATACAAGAGAGCGATTCTAAATTTGGTGGGCATTTGGGTTAACGCGTGTACTGCGGGTCACCGGGAGAGAAAAGCCCCATCATTGAAACAAAAAGAATGACGTGTGCTCGGCTGGTATACCTACATATTATCATTATTATATATTCGCAGCAGGGGGGGGGAGACTATATTTAAATATACACACGTGTAAGGTCCAAGCGGGAGGGATGCTTTTTTTTTTTTTTTTTTTACCCGAGTAGGTCTATGTATATGGCGAATAATCGATGCCTATATATACGCGAATGTGGTGCGTTTTATGCTGGGTATAGGTCTCGCTCGTGTGTGCATATTATATACATTCGGTAAGTATGTATTTTGTGTTCCTGGTTATTTCGCCCAGCTAAAACATTGCATCCCGCTTGTAGGTATATATTGTATGCGCGTTTAGTTGGACGATGCGGGGTAGCAAATTTTTTTTTGTTTTTTTTTTTTTTTTTTTTTTCCTATAAAAATTTCGAATGTCTCGGTGATGGATATAGCCTGACATGGTTGATTATTGTTTGTCTCGAAAATTAAAGATAATTTGCGTCAAAGCCAAGGTTTTCAACACAAAAAAAGATAGTATTTTGTGTGGAAAAATTTCATAAATATTTTAGTTTAAAAAGCCATATCGTTCATGAGTCATTGAAGTTTATAATAGTATACATGATCTTCAAAAAGTTTTTTTTTTTTTTCTCAGCAAAGTGACTCCCAAAAGTAAAAAATAAAAAAAGGACTATTTTCTATTTAATTTAAACAAGCGATCCCCGTGACATACGAGTCAAAGAAGCCAAAATTGAAAGATTCTTCCAGTGGCCAAACAACCTCCCCAATTATTATTATTATTTCTATCGCGAGTTGGGCAAATTTAGCACTTGAACGAATCGAGTGGGACGAAACGCCGAGCCCTCTCGCGTGCCCCATCCGTTTAGCACACCCTTCGGTCATCATTGGGCACGCGATACAAGTAAACGCGAGCTGGTGCAAAGCTTGTTACCCCCCAGTCAGTTTCTCTCTATATTGGATTTTCGAGCTCGATGCATCATTTTTTTCCTCAACATTTGTTACGTAAAGTGCTCAAAACGACCCCCACCGGGGCTTCCTCGGCTCTTATTTCCTTCGCGTTTTACGCGAGCCTATTTGATTTCTTATATTTATTGTGAGTCTTGAAAAAAAGAAAAAAAAAAAAAAAAAAAAAAAAAAAAAAAAAA